ATATATAAATACACCTCCAATTGCGTAGCCTGCGGGCCCAGTTCATTTACATACATATCATTTTGTTTGTTGACTCATTTGTATCAATGCATATGGCAAGGCTTTTATTTCAGATTAGAATACATAGATCCAAAAAATTAATCAGTTTCACGTTGATCCCGAGTCGGGTCCATACAGCAGAGCAGACTCTTTCTGGGATCAACGTGAGATGGATCCATTTATTCTATCCGTTTGAACAAAGCTGGCAAATCGATAAACGGTGAAGAATCCAGCGTTGAAAAGGGAAGAAGGAATAAATGGCAATAGGACTGGGTGAAACCTACCTGACATGCACAAACTATGCATAGGATATATATGGCGTAAACATGACCCCCTGTAGCTGCTGTGTAACACGGGCACCTGCAGAAGTCGCGCCTCAGGACGCAAAGAGCTTTATCGATGGTTTCTTGAGGCTCCCTATAATACTGCCTGCACATATCCCTATTATCAATAATTTGCTGGAGGAAGTAAACTCTAATAGTCAGTCAGCTTTGAACTTTGCACCATAGTATCTCATGTTTGCTACATCCTATATGCGACACAAACAAACTATATTGGATACATTCAGGCTAGGTTCACACTTGTTTTTGAGCGGTTGTCATGTGTTTTTGTTTTCGCCTTTTTACTTTGAAAACACTGTGATCGTTGCATGGTTTTCAATGCATAGACATGTCTATGGGACGCAAACTGCAACAACTGCCTGAGAATAGCTCCTGCACCTTTTTAGCACCACAGGCGATTTCTACCGTGCGACAAATCGCAAAGGTTTGAACAGCTTCCATAGACTTGAATACAAATCTCTGTTTTGTGCGATAGCGCGCAGCTAAATCCGCGTGACAAATCGCCTAAGTGTGAACCTAGCCTCATACTTGGATGTAAATTAAACACAACCAGGGAGAACCAACATCTAATTTCATACACTGAGGGAAATAAAGCCTGGGTCAGCATTGGGTACAAAATGTGGTTGTGTATACGTCGCAACATTCTCAAATATATTGCATAACTCTGTGTATACATCTTGACCACTGCAGATTATATATTTTACATCAATGAATTCAGATGAGAGGAAAAGTGTATATATAAATATATAGACTGTATACTGCTGAGCATTGTGGACTATATTGTTTTGAGTATATACAGTTGTGCTCAAACGTTTGCATACCCTTGGAGAATTGGTAATATACTGTATCTACCATTTTTAAAGAAAACATTAGTGAGCAGCCAAAAATGCACGCTGGGACTCCAGTGCGTCCCCCTAACCCAGGGGGACGCACTGGAGTCCCAGCATGCATTTTTGGTTGCTGGGCCACCAGTGCGTCCCTGCACCTTATCAGGAGTTGGCTACCTCCCAGGTACACCTGCATGTAATTTATCAACTTCATTAATATGCTCACACTTAGAGACTCGGATACATAGAGTTAGGACCACACTTTGCAGAGGTGCCTTGGCGCGGCAGTGTGGCTTCTACATATTTTTGGCCAAAAGTTGTGCAACTAAAACCTCTGATTTTAACACATACTGTCGACAGGCTACTTGTTTGGTTGCAGGCTGGCTGGCAGGCTGAGGCTGGGGAATTTTCGTGTTTTGTATTGTTGTAAGCCTTCCCAATGTGCGCCCTGCTATAAAGGCCGGTTATAGATTCATGCATGTACCATTTTTTCTAGTTTGACTTTTTTGTGGCATTGGCACAGTAAAGGCTTCTTGACCATGCAGCTCATTTTTGTTTAAGCATCTTCGTATTGTGCTCCTTGAAACAAGCACACCGTGCAAGAGCAGCCTGTATTTCTCCTGAGGTTACCTGTGGGTTTTTCTTTGCATCTCAAACAATTCTTCTGGCAGTTGTGGCCGCAATCTTTCTTGGTCTACCTGACCTTGGCTTTTTATCAAGAGTTCCCCGAACTTTCCACTTCTTAATAAGAACAGTACTGACTGGCATTTTCAAGGCTTTGGATATCTTTTTATATCCTTTTCCATCATAAGGTTCCATTACCTTGTTACGCACGTCTTTTGACAGTTCTTTCTGCGCCCTAAGGCTCAGTATCTAGCCTGCACAGTGCATCCATGTGAGAGCTCACAAACTCATTGACTATTAATATACAGACACTAATTGCAATTTAAAAAGCCGCATGTGGGAAATTAACCTTTTAATTGCCATTTTAACCTGTTTGTGTCATCTTGTTTGTCTGTAACATGGCCAAACGTTCCAGGGTATGTACATTTTTTGATCAGGCCCATTTGGGTGATTTATCATTATGATTTTTAAAAAGGAGCCAAACAACTATGTGATAATGTCTTCATATGATCACTATCCTTTTAATTAAGACAGTTTTTTTGGCATGATCAGTCATATTTTCAATATCTATGCCAAATGTTCACATTTCTGCCAGGGTATGCAAACTTTTGAGCACAACTGTAATATACACAGCAGTGTGGACCATATATTATAGGATATGATTTATACAGTTGAGCATTGTGGGTTATATAATATTCAGCCCAATGTATAGTCAAGTGGTGTGGCTTATTTAGCCCTCAGTCACAGGAATAGCCCCGCACGTATAGCTGCGTGCAGGGCTTTACTGACGGCTCCCGGGAAGGACAGGTGCTGCGTATGATTAGTACGCAGCCCCCGTCCTTTATGGGACTATGCGGCCGTAAGCCCCCTCCCCTCAATTACAGGTCCGTAGGGATGCGTGTTGCCTGGCTCGGACGCAGACAGGATCCATCCTGTCTGTGTACGAGTTCACTCACCCGCATGGACGTGCGGGGTGGGTGAGGGTAGGGGGGCGTATGGCCGCGTAGTCCCATTAGAGAAGGATGGGCTGCATACTAATCACATGCAGCACCGGTCTTTCCCGGGAGCTCCTCGGTACGGCCCTGCACGCAGCACGGAGCTGTACGTGCGGGCCAATTCCAGTGTGAATGAGGGCTAAAAGTGTATTGATCACAAAAATGCATTTTATTTTTTCATTTTTGGTATGAGGTAGGAAGACTTAAAGGTTTTGTCAGTATATTTGCCTTCTGTGTCTATTTGGAGATGTCTCAATTTACTTCCTGTCTTGTGAAATTACAGAAAGTGAGAGGAATTCTATCCATAATAAAGGAAATTTGCATCTTAGCCGTTTTCATTGGAACAGATGTCCCTGATGGAAGATTTACCCTTGCCTCTAGTTCTGGGAACAGCTCATAATTTGGGATTTCTTATTACTTTGTTTTGGTGACAGTGGTCCTCAGGACAAAGGGTGACTTTACCTAGCGGGGACACAGACTTAACAGAAGTTCTTAATCTTCCATACTATATAAAACCTGAAGAAAACCTGTTTTGACTTTGCATCCACTTTAAAGACTGGAAAAGGTTTATTGTGATAAAGTGGATAGGATGGGGTGCATAGTAAAAGTTTAAAGGAAACCCTTGCAGAACAAATATGAAAGCTGCCGTTGCTGACCTTCCTAAAATGCTTTTTTTTTCCTCTGCCCCCATGCAGTGGATTTAATCCTTTTTGGGGCACTGGCTCTAGTAATGGATGTAATTCTGCCCTTACTCTGTTTTTATTCTGGGTCAGTAGTCAAGACAGCCAGCCGTTCCTGACCGTTTCCGGACCGGACAAAATGTGACATGCAGTATTTTTTCTGTCGTAAGCTGAACGGACTGCGCACGTGAGAACTGGAGCCCATAAAACACATAGGGATACATTGGGATGCATTTTGAGTGCAGCAGCGTACGGAGCCGGTCAGCACACAAAACGGACGTCGTGTGAACAGGCCCTAATGGAAACCTGTCATGAGAGAAACATGGAGAATGCTTTTTGACATTCCTCTGATAATGCTTTCATGTGAACCTGCTAGCTTTAATATTTTGAGACCCTAACCTGTGACAGGTATGCACGCACGCTTCTGATCTGTATACTTCATCTCAATGACTGAGTACTGAATCCCGTGATCAGCATATCTGCCATAAAACTTATATATTGAGTAGCTCAAGAAAGGGAGTTCCTATATTTTCCTGACAGGTTTACCTTCAGAATTTTATAGCTTGTTGAAAATTGTTTTTTTAAATCTGAAAACGTAGATTTTGGAAGCAATTCATCCATTTGGCTAAAGACTGCTGAGTTGACACTTCAGATTTGTAAGTTTGAATTTTGAAGGCAATGGTAAAGCGGTGGAATCTATTATGTATGTATGTTGGCATACTGGAACGTATAACCTATGCCTCAGAGAGGTTAGACTTTAAAAGAAAAAAAGATCACTTATAGATCACTTGTTCGGCCTCATCTTGAGTATGCGGTCACCACTCTACAGAAAGGATGTCTTTTGAGCTGGAGAGAGTCCAGAGAAGGGCAACAAAACTCATTAAGGGTCCGGAGGAACAAAGCTATGAGACAAGGTTACTAAATTTAAACTTGTTCACGCTGGAAGTGAGGTGACTAAGAGGGGACATGATTTTGATGTACAAAATGTTTAGTGGTGATGGCAACATCAGCAATAAACTCTTAATAGTAAACTCCATAACAAAGACTAGAGGCCACCACCTAAAACTGGTGGAGAAAAGATTTAAGCACAAGGGGTGTAGGTTTTTTTTTTTCTTCAGTTAGAGCAGTTAAAATATGGAACTCGCTGCCACAAGCAGTGGTATCAGCTAAGAGTATTGTATCATTCAAAAAGCATTTAGATACCTTCCTCAGAGACAGATACATACAGGGGTACAGGCAGTCTTAAAAACTAGACCACAGAGGGACACGCACAATCACAGACACACAAAGGTTGAACTTGATGGACCTTTTTGTCTTTATTCAACCTCACATACTATGTAACTATGTAATACTGTGAATTGTCTGTTTCCTAGATTCTCTCACCAGCTTCCTTCTCACCATATAAAGGTGTTCACATTTGGCAACATTTATTTCTTACAAAAAAATACCTCCAGATCTTACCACTAGCTCAAAATGTCCTACATTGTTTTGCAGATGGGGAAGGATATGTGGAGGATGGACGAGAAATTTTCGACGATGACCTTGAAGATGATGCGCTTGCTACTAAAGGTGAGTTTTATGACAGTCTGATATTTATCAATGAGCTTTATATTGATTTTTATGGTCATGTGTTTTGCTTTTGTTTCTTACGCTGTTAGTTTTTATTGTGAGGATTTGTTAGGGGTTCTATTTTGAAGGTCTAGCTATTTGTCTCAGGGATGGATCAGAAATGATATGCAGGTATTGTGTGTCCATTTACACTAAACAGTTGTTATCTGCAGGAAAAGGAAGCAAGGGAGCAGCTAAAGAGAAAACAAATGTGAAGAAATCATCTGTATCCAAACCAAATAATATTAAATCCATGTTTATGGCCAGCGCTGGGAAAAAATCTTCAGATGTGAGTTACCGGCAACCGTTTATAAACCTATTCTGCTTTGATGTTTATCATAGCTTCTTGTGTGTAATAGTTGTTTGCGTGACATGAATTGCTTTTGTCAACAGAGATATTCAGCAGTGCAAGGGACAGTGGGGTAAATGTACAGAACCATTTTCCACCAGCAGTGTCCCTTTTTGTACTTTCTAATGTGAGCACAGTGAATTCCGATTTACTGTACTTCAGAGCCGTTTGTTGTAAGACCTTGTGTTTTTTTTTTTTTCTGGTTCTATTATAAATAGACATATGTCTTATGTCAGTGACCTGAGTGTGTCGGTGCAAAAAGTTATTTGTGGTTGTGTATTTCTTGGAAATATCTGTGAATATAATGTGTATTTGTCTGTGATACAAGCATTAATGTATGTCTTTGCAGAAGTCTGTGGACCTGTCAAAGGATGATTTATTAGGCGATTTATTGCAAGATTTAAAATCCCAGGTAAGGTTGGTGCTCCCTATCACTCTCCCACCCCCCACTTTTTTATTTTTATACTATGCTAGAAAGTCCTTTTACATGTTTATTGGATGCTTTTCAGTAGCTATGCCTTGGTAGTGCCACAGCACCATGCAAACATGCCATCTTGGACACAGAGCCAATGATCTGCAGTTCACCTGGCAGTCGACATTGGGGTTCGTTTCGCTCTAAACCTGAAAGTGCTGATTAGGGGGTTCAGTGGTTTTCTTTTTTTTCCCAGCCTATAAGAGTTTTGTCAACGGGAGTTAGCCAAATTCCCCTGCTCTCCATCCTGAATTCCCCTGCAGTGGTCCTGGGCTAACAGAGGAGAAGTTGTGTCTTGAAAGCAAACTAGAGCTTTCTTGATAGTTGGCCACCAGTAAAACATCCAGAGAAATTCCCAGCACAAAAAAAGCCCTAGATAGTACACAAATCACTGGTGTGAACCATACAGCAGTACCCTCTATGGTATGGCATAACAGCTGAAATTGGTTATGTATAGTTGGTAAATGCAAGACCTTCAAAGATATATATTTTATGTATCTGGATATTGTAGAAATGATTTAAATGATAAGATTTATGGTAGCAGTTTTCATGTTTTTAACTCCAGATTAGTCTGCAGCACAGTAGCTGTAGAAAAATTATTAAAACTTCATGTTTGTTTTCTGCTATATATTCGCAAAGTGTGCCTTTATAAGTTAGCACTCTATACTGAATATGTACAGTTTCCCATAGCCAGTCAGATTTCATCTTGTTCTCCTCTGACTTAAATTTCCCTTGGATGTTTTGGCTTATAGTGGGCATGTAGGTTATGCTCTCTAGTTAATTTTTCATCCAGATACTGCAGTACTGTTTCAGTATTTCCATTCCATATTACCTTTTATTCTTCCTTCTGCCTCTTACACAGAATACATCGTGCAAAAAAATGTCAGTCCTAAGATTGTTTCCAAAGGCACCAATTGTAAAACCTGCTTTTGAACGTTTGGATGGGTTTGAAATGTTACACAGCACATGCTTCAGGAAGTACATCCCTACTGATCACTTATGATTTTTTTGGTGTACTTGTCCTGACTTGGGCACAGTTGATGTGTTAATTGGATAGCATTAGCAGTGTTATGATTTCTTTCACTTTTTATTTAGAATAGCTCTTTATTTAATAAGGTAGAATGATTATAAACTAGGTTGCAAACACAGTTCTAAAGTTATTTATTATGCTTCGATTACCTCCTCTGCTTAGCCTACACAGATAACACCACCACCAATAGTGATGCTAAAGAAGAAGAGGCCTGCTGGTGCACCACTCAACCCTTTTTCCATCCCTGCTGCTCCTTCAGCTATGAAGGTACCAGTCACAACCTACAAAAACAGTGCTGAAATGCATTTATCTTGGGATGCCTGCAAGTGTCTGTGCTAATCTAAAAATTTAACCATTATGAGGCGCCTCTGGATTCTAGGCCTAGGCTTTACACTGGGTATTAACTACAGCTCAAGATGAGTTTAAAAGGTTAGTTTACCTTTTTATAATATCTGCAGTGCAGTCAGGGGGCCCCAGAAGTTTACAAATCATGGTGCAGTGAAGAGAACGTAAGCTTCTTTTAAATATCATTCCTGTAGGCTGACTGCAACTTCCCCCAAACCTGGGTAGCAAAAAAAATATATCCTTCTGAGTGATCGCCTTCATATAAGCTAGGGAGGATGATGCGTTGAGTGCACCCCCATCCATCACAAGCGTGCTGTATTACTCATCCACAAATAGGCATATGTGCGGCTGGCTCTTCCTATCGCAACAGCATTGAGCTCAGCGATTTATGTGATTGGAGGAGGGAGAGCGTACTGTGCATGGGCAGATTTGTGGATGAACAATAAGTCACCAACACACTCGTTCCTGTTATGATGGGGCTCAATTTCTTTACACTGCTCCATGATTTAAAAACTACCGGGGCCTCTTTACTGCACTGCAATTTGGATTATAAAGGTTAACTAACCCATTAAACCCGTGGGTCGTCACGTGCCTTCCACTACGCTAGGTGAGAGGGCCCCCTTAACCTTGCCCTAGTGCAAAACTGTCAGTTCTCGGGCCAAGCAGCCATTCAAAATATGCTGCCCAGCGCCCAGTGTCAGCTTGAGGTGGTGTGGGCTGGGGGGTATGGCTATGATTGTGCTTCATTCATATGTGCATTGCTTACAGCTCCCTAACTTGCCCTGTAGAGGTTTCCTGGTCGGAGTGACGTCACATTCTGGCACTTCTACAGGACGCGCAAGGGAGCTGTACAAGCAATGCACACATGGATGGAGCTATGTCGCACAACAGCAGCCCACCCTGGGCCTCAGGCTGAGGGTCCACTCCAGTTCTCAATTAGGTATGGAGACTGGGTAGATGTTAAAACGAACTTCCAAAAAATGTTTTGTTTATATGTGTGTGAGATTGTGTCGGTGTTTTTTGAGGGCCCGTTCACACTAGTATCGTGCGATTAATGCAATTTACCACGCAATCACAGCTGCTGCGCATTCTCGAGATGTGCATTAGGTTGCGATTCTTTTAAATTGCACCTCCCGCCCACAGTTCAATCGCACGCAGCAGAAAGCGCAGTACTGCAATGCAGTGCGGTGCGAATTGGGTCGCAACTTTTTTTTTTTTTATTCTTTATTTCAACTTTCCAATGTTTAAGGATGTACCCACATGGACACGCAGGTCTGGGTACGAACAGGACATACAAAACATTCAGTATATGACAACGGTAAGGAGCGGCACATATATAAAAGGAACAACCTTCCATACCCCATTAATCCTTGGGTCGCAACTTAATGACCAAGGACAAATGTGGGTCCTGAGGTTACACAGGTTGCGAACCACTGCTTTTTAAGCCATGCTTCTGCCGTTCTGTCAAATGCCAGAACCTCAGTTGGCAGTAGAGGTTTTGACATTTTAAATGAGACAGTACTTAGCACTTGGAGATGTGGGACCTAACTTAGACTTGGTTTAACTTGACTTGACTAAGTGAGGTTTACAGGGAAGATGAGATCTGTAGACCAATTCTTAATATTTGACTTCAGCATTGTTGACTTGCAAATGCATTGGCCAAGAACAGTTTCCTTTTTAAGTTATTTATTCTGTTGTCTAACATTTTCTTTCTTTTAGGCTTCTCCAGCAAGTGTTAGGAAAGTTGCCCCTGTGGTAAAGCAAGAACGTGTGTCTATTCCACCTCCTAAAATCCCCTGCAATTCATCTTATAAAAAAGTGGTGGTTCAGAAAGAGAATCTTGTAGAAACTGAAAACAGTGGAAGTAGGATTAAAGAGGAGGAAGCATCAAATGGTAATCATGCATGGCCTTAAACTTCATTTAAATAGATAAAATTAAGTTGAGCTTAACAGTGTTCAGGACGTTTTTACAATTATGGTGGGAAGAAAAGTTTGGTAGCAGAAGGTTCACACTTTTCGATGGTAAATGTAGATATTTTGTATTGAGCATTCTTGATAAAGGCCAATAAAACATCGTTCTGTCAGGTGAATTACGATTGCATTTCAGATGCACTCTTTAAGATGCTTCTGAGTTACTTCACAGAAGCTTCTGGCCTGCTGTAGATCACTTCCTAAGCTGCTTTAAGCGCCTTTTGCATACCCATTGACTTGAACCAGGAGAAAAGCTGTTCTGATGAGAACAAAAATTGTCATTTAATTTTTTATTAACATCAATGCTGGCATTCTGTGCATGACTAGTGTAAGAAAAGTGGTTCCTTTTTGATTTTTATTTTCAGAAGAGGAGCAAGCAATGGTTGAGTTTGATGATGGAGATTTCGATGAACCTATGGAGGAAGATGTGGAAGTCAAACCCAATGCTGGTATAACCGTGAAAGCGGAAACTCATAAAGAGGATGTCAAAGAAATGAATGCTAAATCTTTTATGTGAGTAAAAGTATATTTCCCGCTTTTCTTCCCTTTTGTATGGAAGTATAAACTAGGGCTACAGCTAATGATTCTTTTCATTATCCTTTTAGTTGCCCGATTTTTTTATTTTTTCAATTAATCGTTTAAAAAAATTAAATACCATCCTTAATTTAAAATGCAATACACAAATGCAGGGTTACAAACCATTAAGTTTACTTCAGAATAAAACTGCATGCACAATTGTTTTGCAATGGAACGCACAGCATTGCGGTACTGTGCGTTTCAATGTGGGCAATTACACTGTGTGTTCGAGCTGCGTTTGGCGTGCAATTGAAATTAATGGCACTGCAACGCTCCTCCCGCAGCTGAATTTGTCAGCCCCAAACCGAAAATGGCTCCCCCCTCTCTTTTTTTATTATAATTATTTTTTTTCTTTTTAGCAATTGTGTTGTGAGAACATGGCGCTCAAATAGCTTTAGCCAGGAAATGACAGCTGCCAGTGGCAAAATTCCGCAAAATAAAGCAGGTAGTGGACTAGTGCAATAGTCAGCCTATTGGTCATGTCGAATTGCAATAGCAGGCTGGCTATTGTATCTGCCCACTGCTTGCTGTGCCCTCCTTCCCAGCATAAATGAGAGAGAGAGATAATCAATTGGTTGCAGCCCTAGTATAAACTTATACTTCCTATTTGGACAATAATGAGATTGTCCAATCTGCTTTGCTGCTGTATACATTTTGTCCTCCATATAGATTGTACAATATGTAAGCCCCCTAATGATATAAAAAGTTAAATATTTGTTGTATGACTTTGGTGTTCTCATTCGTTGAGGGAAACAGGGAGTCTAGTACTGTCAGGTATCCAAAACCGTCCAACTGAGGGGTGGGCAACAGCAAACAAAACACTAACGGGCCCAACAAAAAGCATAACTGTGCACTGCCTGCAGCTCAAAGAGCAACTCATCAGTCCAGCGCACCTGCTGACATTTTTATGTGGCCAAAAAGCCATACCTCTGACGGAATCTAGGCTAAGCGACTCAACTATGTATGAAAACACAAACTGGAGTGCAGAAAAATGGCAGCAGGTGATATGGTCTGGTGAGTCACAGAAGGGCTGGAGAGCAGTACAATGAGTGTCTGCAGCAACAGTGAAGCATGGTGGAGGGTCCCTGCAAGTCTGGGGCTCAATTTCTGCCAATGGAGTTGTAGATTTGGTCAGGATCAATTGTGTCCTCAATGCTGAGAAATACAAGCAGATACTTATCCATCATGCCATACCATCAGAGAGGTGTGTTGTTCGCCCCAAATTTATTCTGTAGCAGGACAACGACCCCAAAAAATACAACCAATGTCATTAAGAACTATCTTCAGGATAAAGAAAAACGGAGTACTGCAAATACTTCTGTCTCTTCATATAATCCCAGTGCTTTGGGGGGGGGGGGCCCCCAAAGCCCTGGGGTTATATGAAGAGCAG